TTTGAGGATGAGATGTTAAGGCGTCAACATTTCATATTTTGTCAACATATTGTAATTGATTTGGAAACATGTAATTCATACAATGATGTAACTCTTTCAATTATATATATATATATATATATATATGTGTGTGTGTGTGTGTGTGTGTGTTGGTTGTGTTTGCTTAAATTACTATTGCAATTGTGTTTATGATATTATACATGAAGTCCTCCACCCCAGACGTTTCCGCCATCCTTGGTTTGGGGGTGTGACATAACCCGTTAAGACCATAGCTATAATCTCATATCTGGATTCCCTAAAGGCTCATACTTCATAAAGTTCATGACTTTAAGCCTTTGCATGGCTGATAAAGTCACAAACATCAAAACTCTCACACTCTATTCTCAAGGATTCTCATAACTCATGCATGGTTTGAGTTAAACGTCCAAGTCCTGGTTTTTATAACTCTACGCCACTTAAAACACTCAAAGGTGCTGATAATAACCTGTGGAGCTCAATATCTCATAAAGCGTCCAACTTTGAGACCAAAACCCTAAAATGAACTAGAATGATGCACAAATAAAAATGGTGAGAAAACTTTGAGCTTTATACCTCTAACTGAAGCTCCAACCACAGATAAGCTCATATCCAAGGCATAGACTCCCACTCCTTCCTCCTCAAAGCTCCTTCTTCACTCCAAAGAAGCACAAGAACACTTCATAGCTCAATAGTGGACACACCATCTCAAAGGACGAGAAATTGGGGTTTGAGAGGGTTGATGTCTGGGACTTGTTGCCATAAATGAGGCCATCATGTCCTTTATATATGGTTTTCACTTTGGGCCTAGTCCTCCTAGCGTACTAGGTGGCTTCGCTTCACTTTCACGCACATGAGTACGCTAAGTGTACACACACGTACGCCCAACGTACTCAGCTGACACCTTTCTCAATTAAAGGACCTTTCTAGCCAAAACTTAAAACTATCATAACTCCCTTGTTATAAGTCCGTTTCCAATGAAACTTATATCCATGGAAAGGTAACGAGAAGCCCTACGCTTCTAGAAACTCATCATAGCCCTGAAACTTCCTCATGCCCGGGTTGCATCCCACGAACCGTAAATCACAGACAACTCGAAACAAAAGGTTACATAATTTAGGACACATCAAAACACACCATACTTGCATTTTTTTGTCCCTAAGCAAAACTTTAATCATTTATGTTTACCTAGACATTTATCTAAAATTATAAATTATAATTAATGATGAAAAGATGTACAAAAACAAATCATGTCCATTATGTTGAACGATCATGAATATAAATGTGGTCTTTATAATACTTCAAACAATCTCCTCGTTGTAAAAAGAAGAAATTTATATATGACACCGATTATTTATGCATCACTTATTTGTTATACCCTTCAACTATTTCTTACCTTAAGGTCTTGTTGCTAAGTTTACAAGTTTTTTAATGATGTTTCTTTTTGAGATACTACTTTCAATATTACTTTGTGTATCATAACTATTTATGATGTGTCTTGACTAGACACAGTACCAAATTAACTAGCTTTAACTCTTGACTTTCTATGGAAAATTTTCGAATACTCGATATTTTCCTTCCAGATGTCACTAAAAAAGTTCATAACTTTCTATGGGAGATTTTTCACTTTTTATATGTGTGATTTTGTTCATCCCAAAGGTCACAAATTGACTTTTCCTTGATCTCTCTAAATTTTTTTAACTATGTTTACATGTGTCCCCTTATAATTTTGCAAATACTAAATCTAATATGGACTTCATGCCCCTGTAGTTATTTCTGCTGCTTCCCACTTCTTATAAACAACAACGTTACCGATGCATAGCACATCTATCATCGATCTAGAAATGCAGAGCGCCTCCAGTATTGAGTCGATGTTGCTTCCATCTGTATTTCTATTTTTTCCACCACTACCATTGGTGACAACGAGATCTTAGTCGTCTAACACCACATTTAATATCGTCTAACACCACATTTAATAACTCGACAACCATGTGTATTTATGATTTCGTATTGTTACTACTTTTTTTGAGATTTTTTTGTATTTCTATTTTTATATTGTTGCTACTATGTTAATTTGTTGTGTTAAGTATTTATGATTTCGTATGGTAAAGAAATGGTCAATAGATCTATCATCCAAGTATCTTCATTTGAAAAAAAATTGTCTCTCTAGAATTATTCTATAGCCATAAAACGTGTCTGCATTCTTTCCTTTTTTTAGATACATATTCAACAAAAATAGGCCTATTAGTTTCAATGATTTCTCATATACTTCCATATGTTGCAAGCACTTATATCCATGACTTTGTGCTTCATATGCATTGTTGAATAATATGATGATATGTTAAAGTTATGTTCAGATATGTAATTCTAAATTTTAAAATATCGCACAAATCAAATTGTATGAGTTTATTTTCGGATTATTATTTTCAAGTTTTATTACATGAATGGTTTATTATTTTATGATTGTAATCGTGTTTATATTATTTCCAAGTTTTGTTTGCATAAATGGCCACATAAATCTAATTGTATGAGTTTATTATTTTCAATTTTTTTTGTAATCTGTAATATAAACGAGACTTTTATTATTTTTTGATTTTATGAATTTTTTCGGTTTTTGGATCTCTATCAATTTTTGAATTTAGGGTAGAGTGCAAGGAAAAAATCATCCCCGATGAGGCACCCCGATAAGATACTGGTTGGGTATCAGGGTGGAGATGAAAACAATTTTTTATATCAGCTTCAGGGATGTAACGTCCTCCCTTGCCCCCATTTACATTCCAATCGAGCCTGAGACCGATAAAGAACCGAAAGAAGACAATATGGTAAAGGATCTTCCAAACACGTCTCTAGAAGAATATGCAAACCAAACTACTAGAGCAACAACATCTAGACTAGTCTGGATGTGATTTTAATTACTCTGGTTTTAAATTTATAAAGTAATATACCAATACGATAATCTTAGACATCATAGATAACACATTGATCTAGAGTTTCATTTAAAGAGAGAAAATAAAGGAAGTTGGAGGATCGGTAAAAAAAAGTCATTACTCCTGAGTTTAGTTATTTGAAGGAACAGAAGAGAAAAGAAATGAAGATTTATACTAATCTTCCTTATAAATCGTCTTCCCAAATCGGGAGGAACTTGAGAGAAAGGAAAGGAAGATCATCCCTTTTCTTTTATTTTCTTTTATTTTCTTTCCTTTGGTGAACTTGAGAGCACATCGTAAGTGTACCCAATCATGTGATAATATGGAAACAATAAGACCAAATTTTGAACTCAAAGGGAATAAGTATGATTTGTTTTAGATCTCTGTAGATTAATTAAACTATGACAATTATTAAATTATATTGGGAGTTTGTTTCTAAACGTACACAAACTAATGAAAATAAATAAAGGTAGATATTTAGATTAAAAATGAAGTTGAGAAGACACTTACACTTTGATTAGAATCCCCTTTTAGTTATTGCTGATTCTATGATCCGTAGTGGATATTTTTTGTTAATTGCCGATTCATAATATGATCAAACTCTAACCTTAATGGTACTAATTTTGGTTAAAACAATGGTCAAGTATTAACTATTCTTATTACCAATATTTAGTGTATATCAACTTAGATTAAATCTTTTCAAATTAGTTTAAATCTTTAGTGATATCAATGATAATGAAAGTCAACTAACTTACACATAATGGTAATCCATGTAACTCACACACATTAACATTACAAATCTTACTACCTAAAGCTATGATTTGACTAATCATTAGTCATAACATTTTTTAATGGTCATAAAATATTTATGATTCAAGCAAACATAATTAGATTGACCATCTAATCATATAAACTCAAACAATGAACAGTAAGAATTAAATAACTAAAATATTTGAATCATATAATCGAACCTAAATCATCAAAGGTTCATTATATCCAAGTGCAAGTAAAAGAGTTTTAGTCCATGAAAATAAAATCTAAACACAGAGAAGTCAAATATAGAGTGTTAAAACATGATTAAAACAGTGAACCAGATGATTCTCAAATGAATAATCTTCCAAATCTTTAGATCTTTGCTTCAAGGGGTGCCTCAAGCCCTTAAAATGTCTTCTTATGATTTATGGTTACTCAAAGACCAATGCCTATTTAGAAGAACCATGGTATCTTTTTAGGTAAAAAAGAGAAGTCATATCTATAGAAAACTTCAGCCGACTTAAAGTCGTATCAACATTCTAGTTATCGTATATTCCTCAAGTAGCTCCACCTCATAAATTAATTTTCCAAAACTTAGATCTATATTTAAGAAATCTTTTCCAGTAGGGGCGGAACCATAAATTTTCGGCAGGGATATCACAAAAAAAATCCCAATATAATATAAAGAGTACAACCAAATTAATCACAAAAAATTTATAGTTATGAAATGGTGAATATAAGATGAACTAAAAGGATAAGGCATACCTTATAAGTTTTATCTTCACATAAATGCTAGTTGTATGTTACAAATAAAAGAATTCATGCACATTTATGTACATTAAAAATAGATGGAGTATCACATAAACAGTACATACACACATCATGCACATAAAGAGACTGTTGTGATCATGTCAAATGTAAGCAATATTTTTTTATCCCATTCTTGTCTCTAGTTTTTTAGTGAGAACGAAAATCATACTTAAAACACACATCAGAACATAAACATAGACAACAAACACATACACACACAACACATATGATATTAACGAAGTATTTGACTATTCTTTAGCATACGGTTGCTAATTAATAGTAACTTATATGAAATCATGAAATTATTTAGCATATGGTTGCTAATTAAGAGTAATGAAGGGATTGTATACCACATCAAATAGAATCACATTCATGAAATTACATAAGAATCAATTGGTTTGGATTGAATATACAAAATAGCAAAGTAGTTTCATTTTTTCTTTATTATAGAATACAATACAAAATCAAGTATAATATAAAAAGAAAAATAATTACTGATTCTATTCGTTTATATATTTTAGTTCAAGCATTTAATCAAATAAATGATGTGCAAAATCCAAAGTTAGTTGTTTGTTTGTGAAACCAAAAACCAAACAAATTATAAATTTTAGGGACCAAAAGACTTATCTATACATTGTTCAATTGATCTGCTCTACTACGATGTAAGTGGCTTATGGTTTTGTTCAAGTACTCACGATTCCACCCAATTAACAGATGAAACTCCCATTAACAAGTCTTTATTTAGGTTTCAAGCCCACCTGTAAAAACCAGATCCAAATAATAAGCGGCGAAACTGAACCTCGATTCAACAAAAGACGATCGAAATTGAAATCTACATACCAATTTCAAGTGAAACGGATCTTGTGTAACTATTTCCATTGATCCTTCATCTTCCTCATAAACACCTAAAGAGTAGCCCCTCTACAACATCAATTTTATTTACACTTTTCCAATGATTTTGAGGGATAGCACGTGCTACCCTGGCTGATAGCTAGCACTGCCCCTGTTTTCCAGTATTTAACTCCAATTTAACTTTTTTTAACTGTCGACAATCTTAGTCTTTGAATCATCAATTAAAACATTATAAATACATTTATCTCAATTTGCATCAAAATTCATTGTAAATTTACTTGATATTGCACGAAATATATGTATAAGTAAGTACCTTTATCTTAATTTCCGTCAAAATTCATTATAAATTTAGTTGAAATTGCACAAAATAAATGTATAAAATAAAGACTATCATGTTATTATTAACAAGCCTATAAGACCACTTTTCTAAAATTTGCTAACGTAGAATTATAAGAAAATACAAGAAGTAAAGTAGAAGAATAATAGAAGACGTGTGATGGTGTAAGCAATCCCAATAAATAAGTATGAAATAATAAATGATAATAGTTTAATGCTAAAATCCTTGTTTCTTTTGAAAATTAGTCATTATCAAAATTTCAAATAACAATAGTGATGGATCGGACCCCAAACAATGCAATGACTAAGGCATTTACATATGGCAAAGGGTATCTCTACCACCATGTCTTGTCGTTTTATATATTTAGAAACATGTAAAAGGTTTAGAGTTTTGGTGTAGGTTTGTAACTTTTGTATTATTTATTATTTGTGGTTGATATCTTTGGTTTATTGGATGCCGTGAAGTTTATTAAAAAAGTACAAGTAATTATTGATGATAATGTTATATTCCTAAATCTATAAATGTAGTTTTCAAAAAAAAATAGTTTTACCTTACAAAAAGATTTAGTAGAACAACTTGCTATCCGTTTGCATTCTCACTCATTATATCGTAATAACTAAGTGTGTTTCAAATAAAATTACTTACTTTTGAGTTTTGATTATTTACCGGAAACTAAAAATGTGATTAAAGATATTAGTGATATATATATGGTATTATTAGTGATATATATTGTATTATGGTATATAGTTAATTAGATTTGTGTGAAAATGCATAGAATGTTGATACGCCTTTAATGCTAAATATTAAATTGTAGTAATACAGATGCTGAACTTATTGGAAGTTATGTATAACTATCACGTTGTATTATGCGCCTTGTATGATAAATTTTTAGTATGTGTAAAAAAATAAAGATAATTAAAAACTGCTTTTATTATCCCCTTTTGACTTGAAATTTGTCAAATGGTATCAAAATGCTGAGAATGTTGTCCAAAGGAAAAAACAAAGATAGGAAATTCTATAAAAAAAGGAACGGATTTAGAAAATACAAATGTTGTGAAATTGTAAATAATAATAATAATAATAATAATAATAATAAAAGATTGGATGGGATAGATTTCAAACCACATAAATATTTGTATGACAGATAACATAATACCGGCAAACAAAATTTATAACCAAATGACATATAAGAAACCAAGACCTATTATCAAGGGGTTTATTTATACGCTCTGGAAAAGCTCGGGATATGGCTTGACCAATTAGGTGTTGACACGTCATTATGACTTAGTCATTAGTTGACACATTTGTTCAATTTAACGGAAAATGGATGGAGTATTCCAATTTCGTTAGGGTTTCATCCAAGTTAAGAGTCTCCTTATTTCATGAGCCTTCCTGATCAATATTGAAAATACGATAAGCAACATGAGCATTATGTTGCTCCATTATCTTCTAAGATGTCATTAACTTCCAGAAGCGTCATTGATCAAGTTGAGTTGTTTCTTGAATGTTGAAATGTGTCTTGAACTTGAAGACCTACAACCACGTGTTCATGATGGACCATGGACGAACTTCACGTGCCATTAAGTATTTGGACGTGTCATTATTGTAGATGATGTGTCATGTGCAATCTTGTTGAGTCATCAACATGATCATGTTGATCCATTGACATGAGATGAGCCACCAAGTATTCATGTTGATCTATCAACGTCTTGAAGCTACACATATGATCTAGATATGTCATTTGAGATCATGATGGTCCAACTTGCTATTAGCAAGTGCTCCATGTAAGCACTAAGCAGCAAGTGCTTCATGTGCAACAAGTGCTCTAACTGCATCAAGTGCTCCAAGTAAACTTCAAGTGCTGTAATATCTGATTCTTCAAACACTTGTTGAATCTTCAAGATCTTTTCAACATGAAGCATTCTGATAATATTTATTAGAAAATGTAAATTAATACTCAATTTATTTCAAATGACAATCACATAAAAAAATATTTCCAACAGTTCTCCCTACGTGATGGTTATTGAAATAAGGAGTCTTAAAAGTGTGTAAAAAGGAAAAATATTGATTTAACAACTATTTATTGCTTAGGTTATCTGGAGCGGAAGGAGAAACCCATGCATGAGGCTTACGTTACCAACCAAACGGAGCATGAACACAGTCCCAATGGCCGGTGGGTTGGGTGTGATGGCTTCATGAAGACGGACGCTCACGAGGATTTTGATTGACTGAATTGTTTTTTGACTGTTGTTGTTGCTGACCGTTGGACTATTAAAAAAAATCTTTTTAAATTATAAATTTAATCTCTCTCTCTCTCTCTCTCTCTCTCTCTATATATATATATATATATATATATATATATATATATATATATATATATATATATATATATATATATATATGTACACTTTACATTTTTTTACATCTAAATAAACACACTTTAAATAAATGGATAATTTTTTAGGTTCAGCTTCTTCTTCATCCGATGATGATAATTCTAATGACGAGATGATTTTGCACATGTTGTCCACAACACAAGACATTGTATGTGATAAAGGCAAAAGTTCAAATGCTGAGAAGAACCATAAAAAATGGATCAACCGGGTTCGTATTGCAGCATACGATCTTTTGGTACATGATTATTTTGTCCATGCTATTTTATATGATCTATTGAAATTCGGAGAACGTTTTTGGATTAGTAGAAATTTAGTCTTACGTATAGCTAGAGATTTGGAAAATAATTATGAGTATTTCCAAATGAGATGTGATGCTATAGGTAAATGTGACAACCCAAAAATTTCCGTTAGTTTTAACGTCGAAATTAATTACGTCAAAAATTAGTCAAATTTATCCCGAAAGTATTTTTGACCGGATTTCAACCCGTTGGAATATTTTAAATAGTATTCGTCAAATGAACAAAAATTAAGGCGGTATAATTTTAAAATTTGCCGTGATTAATAATAGTTGTGAAAAACTCCGTTCGCGGTTGGTGTCAGGTGAACCCCAGACAGGCCATAAACTCCACCCTATATAAGGGTTGAGTGAGATTCATTCCCACCTTAGACTCTCTCTCTCTCTCTCTCTCTCTCTCTTTACTTTCTCTCTTTACAAACGGGTTTTGGTCAAAAATCACCCCTCCAAGCCTCAAATCGATAAGTAAACCTTCCTACCTTGTTATCTAACTTATCTAGCTTGCAAATTTGTGACTTAATCATCCAAACACCCCCAAGAACATGTGTTTACGATCTTGGGAGCCTCCCAAAACCATAAACCCCTTGGATGTGGGTTTTAATGCTGAAAACCCCTTCCAAACCACTTCTCATGCTTAGCAATGGCTTAGAGGCTTACCCGAAAGGACTTAGAACACCAAAAGCGGACCAAATGGGGAGTAAACATGATTTTTACGGTCTAAGGATGTTCTTAGACCTTAAACCCATGTTCATGGGCCATAAACACCTTTTAAGGTGTTAAACCACCCCTCAAACACTTCCAAAGGCTTCCATGGGTGCTTAGAGCCTTGTAATCCTTTGTTTGATGCACCAAAGCATACAAAAACATGGCACACTTGAGTTTACGATCCAAGAAGGTTCTTAGACCATAAACACCTATTATTAGACCATAAACACCTCCAAAGGGGTGTTAAAGTGCACTTAACACTTTGTAATGGCTTGGAATTGGACCTAGAACTTCGTATGCTTAACCTACAACCACCAAAACATAGGATTCATGGACAAAATGAGTTTACTACCGTAAACTCATGTGTTTAACGTTGTAAAATCCCCAAGAACATCTTCTTAGACCGTAAACACCTTTCCAAGGTGTTTAAGTGCCCTAAACACCTTCCTATGCTCTTAAAAGTGACTAAAACCTTACATGCATGAGTTAGAACCACCAAACAACAAAAGAAATGGCCAAGCATGAGTTTACGACCGTAAACTCATGTGTTTACGGCCGTAAACTCCTCAAGGAGTGGTCATGGACTGTAAACTCCCAAAAATGGTCCATTTGGAGCCTAAACGACTTCCTATGCCCTAGAATTGAACCTAGCCAAATTCCACAAGTATTATAAGACCTTAAAGAATCCAAGAACACACCATCCATGACTATACGGCTGTAAACTCATGGGGATAAGGTCTTAGGGCCGTAAACTCTATAACGAGTTACTCTTGAAGAGTAAACTCCCTATCTAGGCCATACACACCTTTAGATGTTTCCCGGGACACTCCTAGCACTTGACCAAAGTGTTTTCCGCATCTTAGGATGCTTATACATCTTTAATTAGTATTATATTTACTAATTGTGTGTAAACATATATCATCATATGTTTATATGTCACTAAGTGTATTCAAGTCTTTACTTGACACCGAGCACCTAACCGCCACTTTCGTTCGATCCGCTTACAACAGGTGAGTTCATACCCCTGAATTAACCTTTTAAAAAGTTTTTACATGCTTTTATGGGGGGGATACAAGCTAAACATGCCAGTTATCATATCAATCACATGTGATTGATAACCCGCATGCACAAGGATTTATTACACTGTCAACTGCTTTACCAAGTACGATACTGTAACTGGTTTTCCAAAACGTCTCTAATTGTTCAAAGCTTTTCTCAAATTGTCTCTCGCGCTGTATGTTTTATTCAAACTCAGTTACAACAACATTTTAAACAAAGGTCTTCTGTACTTATATTGTTTTATCAAAGTGATAATCAAAACTTGTTTACGAATGATTTTCAAGGGTTTCTAAAGGTTTTCAAACTTATTTTACAAAAGAATACCAAGTCATGATTTTCTAAAGTATAAGGGTTTTCCAAAGTTTTTCATCAAAGTTTTGTTCCATGTTTTTATACTCCTACTTTGTTAGATAGTACAGCTTCGTTACACTTCTACTTAGTTAATGCTCCTACTTAGTTAAATGCTACTACTTTGATTAACGCTTTTACTTCGTAATACGCTCCTACTTATTAACGCTTCAACTTCACGATACGCTCCTACTTCACGATACGCTCCTACTTCACGATGCGCTAGTACTTCACGATACGCTTCTAGTTCACAATACACTTCTACTTATTAACGCTCCTACTTCACGATACGCTTCTACTTCACGATACGCTTCTAATTGTTAAACACTTCAACTTCGTTAAATGTTCCTATTGGTTAAATGTATGCTTGTTCTTGTATATATGTATGTATATATATATATATATATATATATATATATATATATATATATATATATATATATATAATGTCTAAAGGACTTAGGAAGGCTAGTTCGCCCTATTTCCTTTTGCTCGTTTGGATGTGGTCTGGTGGGATCGGATATCCGTCCGAAGGTCGTTTGATCATTAATTATATATTACGTATACATGTATAGACATATAGGTTTACATCAATCGGTTCAGTTATGAGTCTCTATCATTAGTCCAGTATTTACATCAGAACTCACTACACGAGATGCATCTTCAGGACACGGCCTTCTCCGTTGTCTAGTTGGTAACCAGAGTCTCCTGTAGGGAGAGTGGGCATTGTGTGTATAGATCTATCCGGGATTGACACCCCCACACCCTGAATGCTAGCTACAGTCCACGGCCTACCAAACCAAGGGGTGACGAATGTCACATTCTTTCCGACACTTGTAGGGCGTCAAGTTCTCTAGTGTCTATTAGTATGGTTACGAGTATCTCGGGGTTACCTTATAATTCATGGCCTTAAGGTAACGGGAATTAACACTATACTGATTGTTTTTAGACCTTGATAGACGTATCATTCGTTTGATATTTTCTGGGGTCTGTGTCTACTCTCGTTAGACTGAGTCAGGCGTGTCGTTCATTCGATACTCTCCTGGAGTCTATGATTTCTTTTGCCTTAGTCAGCAGCATTTCCTGCTGAGGCAAACGTTCTTTTCCCTAATGTTTTTACTTGTGATATCCTTCTACTTCCTTTAAAATAAAATACCGTGTTTTGGTAATGATAATATTTTAGGGAAAATACTCTTTAAAACACAACACTGTTGGGTCTTGGTAGAAGACTACTTTTAATTAGAAAATATAGGATTTTCTAGAAAGGACTCTAATACACTGTTGATTCTAAACTACTACTTTTATAAAGTTATTTGAGTAAAATCACACTAAATACTTATAAACTCACCAGCATTTATAAAAATGTTGATACTTACTTTAAAATAATTTGTATTCTCCGGTCAGCAATAGACAGGTACATCCCAGTAGCTTTGGGTGAAGACAATTTAGTACCAAGCTGCAACTATATTATTACTTATATTACTTTAATGTCTCTATGAAATGTAAACCATGTAAAACTATTACTATTAATGCAATGGTTGTTGTACTTTGATTACTATACTGCATATGTTGTGATACTTGACATGATGTCATCCACCCCAGAACGTTTTCGCCGTTCCGGTTTTGGGGTTTGACAGATTGGTATCCGAGCATTGTTTATAGTGAACTAAGTATATCAATTCAGAATAGATATACAACATATAAATACATAGGGATAAAACACTCTGACCAAGAATTATACTTTAAAATATAACCATATTTTACCAAAGTATAAGAACATCCAAAATCTAAACACTTGAACACAAGTATCACAAGAAGAACAAGAATAAAAGTCTTCGGATGTTGAGCATTACCGTCAAACCTGGGCAGTTATGTAATCGTAACCTGGAATAAATGTAACCTGATCAACTACATTTATTTGAGATGCGATGAACGTGTGCTTGGGAGTGATAGTGGTGTTGCAACAGGTCCGAAACTTACCAACTAGGAATGATAGAGCCAAACATAAAGTTTAAAATACTATAGGAGTATTTTGGGATACTAAAAGACTCACATCGATACCAGAATCATATTCAGAAGATAAGAAACAAACAAGAAATTAAAATACCATAGGGGTATTTTAGGATCCATAGATAACCTTGTGTGAAAAACTAAAAAGATCCTTATTGATATACCTACAATTACAGAGGGTATACTCCCAAGGTTATATATAATAAGGATCCTATAGGCTAAGAATGTGTGGTTTCTCTCTACTTCCTTTTCCTCGTTGGGATGTGGATATAGAGTAGTATCACATATTCGAAGGCCTATCGGATCTAAGCTATATATTATTTGTATACCCTATGTAATCATAGCAGGACTCGATATGGATCACTCAGTGAAATGTTAATAATCTCTTATGATTCTTTAGACATTTCCATTCTCGCACGAACCCTGTAGAAAACACTATCCACTTCAGTACTCGGCAGAAGACGTGATGCAAACCCAGAAGAGGTTCATTGAGAGGATTTCCAGTTAGGAAATAAATGAACCAAGACGAGACTATTGAAAACGCCAAGTGCGTATATCTTTTTAGGGATATCGGTGGGAAATTCGCCTAAACTTCCGAGATTCCCAATCATCCATCAAGTAGTGATGACACCCAGAGTCGGATTCGGAAGTAAGGCGGAGTAGAAATTCAAATATGTCCATAGGAGAAGAGAACCCTAGGTAACTATTCGAAGGAAACCAACGCCGGTCC